CTGCAGCTTTCCTTGCTGCTGCTGCTGCTGCTGCTGCTTTCTTTCTGTTTGCTACGGTCTGCTTCAGGGGCCCCACAGCCCCAGGGGGGGCCCCTGGCCCTCAGCCTTGGGCCCCCAGGGGCCCCTAGGGGCCCCCCCAGCCCCAAATAGGGGCCCCCCGCCGCAACAGGGGGCCCCTACAGGGGCCCCCCAAACGTCAATAGGGGCCTCTAGAGCTCACAGGGGACCCCAGGACCGCGTGGTGTCCCACAGAGCCTAGCAGAGGCCCCAAACAGCAGCAGCAGGGGCCCCCATACAGCAGCGGGGTTCCCCATGCAGCAGCAGGGGCCCCCAAGCAGCAGCAGGGGCCCCCAAGCAGTAGCACGGGCCCCCATGCAGCAGCAGGGGCCCCCATACAGCAGCAGGGGCCCGAAACAGCAGCAGGGGCCCCCAAGCAGCAGCAGGGGCCCCCATACAGTAGCAGGGGCCCCCATACAGCAGCAGGGGCCCCCATACAGCAGTACGGGCCCCCAAACAGCAGCAGGGGCCCCCAAACAGCAGCAGGGGCCCCCAAACAGCAGCAGGGGCCCCCAAACAGCAGCAGGGGCCCCCTTTCGGCTTGTGGGCGTTTTGCTGCGCCACTTTTGCTGCATCTGTTTTTACTCTTTGTCTCTGAGGCAGATGGCGGTGATGAAAAGTGAAAAGCAAAAAAAAGAAAACCTTTATTTGTTGTTTAAATTAATTTGATTGGTTTGGGAGGGTTTTGCTGAGGTGTACAGACACCCCAGCACTGTGCTGGGGTGTACAGACACCGCAATTCTAAGGGCATTTTCTTCGGCTAGAGAAATATTTAAAATAAAAAACATTATTTTTATGTTTATTAATTATTTATTCAAAATATCTGGTTTTCTATTCTTAGAATGTATATTGAGAACACGACCTGACCCATATATATATATATATATATATACACACATATATACATATGCATATGTGTATATACATAATTGAAATTCTTTACTTTTTGAACATATTTATATTAAATTTTAATTTCTTTAATTTGTTTAGCTATTTAATTTTTTTAATTTATTGAATTCATTCGATTTATTTTGTTTATTTTAGTTGTTCTTGGCAGCATTCTCGCAGCCTTTGGAGTGTATGCAATGCAGTTGAGGATAAACTGCTGCAAATGAATCAAAAAAGAATCTTTTTGACTTGTATAATTAAACATATTACAAATCAAATTAAATTATAAATGAAATTTTTAAAAGATTTAAAATTTAAAAGTGCAAATTTGCACAACTTCAGCTTGCAAAGTCTGTGCCCATAAGTCTGCATGCACTTTTGGGGCTTTTGCATGCAAATTGTTTCTTTTTTGCAAAAAAATAGATTTGATTCAATTATAAATAGATACTTGAAATGAACTTTACAACAAATCCACATTCTGCGGCTCTGCATGCAGTTTTATTTTCTTTTTTCTTCATTTGTTTTGGCCCCAGGAGCGCAAGGATTTCCCTTTTTATACTTTTGCATTTATGCTTTTATATTTTTATATTTTTCTTTCTATATTTTATATTTATCTTTTTGTATTTTTATATTTTTCTTTTTATATTTTATTTTCATCTTTTTGTATTTTTATATTTTTCTTTTTATATTTTTAATTTTCTTCAATTAAAATAAACTTCGGGGCTTCGGACTTCTCCATTTTTAGCACTTCCTCCTACCCATGGCCCAAAAGTGAACTTAGAAAAACAAAAAAAAGATAAAATGAATCTTTGTTTTTCTTTAAAAAGTACTTACTTGTAAATGAGTTGCTTTTCTCCAACTTTTAAAAGACAAGGTTCAAAGAAATGCCATTTTTTTGATTCTTTTTGACAAAATTTATTAGAAAAATAATCAAAAAAAATCATTAAAAGTTCCAAATGAAGGCAAATGCATGCATTCGTTTTAATGGAACAATTTAATTCTTTTTTGTTTTTTTCTTTTTCTAAAAATGAAAAAATATGTTTCATTAATTCAAAATGCATGCAGCCTCCTTTTGCCATCTTAGTTTTAATTCGATAAATAAATAAATAAATACATTTCTTTTTTTCGTTTTGAAATACAAATCCAATTAACAAATAGATTCCTTTCTAATTCAAATTCAATAAATACATTTCTTTCTTATTATAAAATTCAAAGAAATAAGTAAATAAAAATGTATTCCTTTTTCGTTTCAAAATTCATATTCAGAAAATAAATAAATTTCCTTCAGAGCCCCACTTAAGCTATTGGGTTTTCCATAATTTTTTTAATTTAAAAATTTTATTTATTTATGCAAATAAAAAACGGGGATAAAAGAATAACTGAAAATATAAAAAGACGATTGAGATAGAAAATAGAAAAGAATTAAAAGAGATAATTGGCAGCAAAGAAAAATCAAAAAAATAATAAAAATAAAAAACAAAAGAAGTAAAAATTAATGGAAAAAAGCAAGAGGAGAAATTAGACCTTTTGGAGATGGGGGAGAAATAAAGAAATAATGAAATGAAATAAAATGAATAAAAGAAATAAAATAAAATAAAATAAAATAAATAAATAAATAAATGAATGAAACAAAATACATAAAATACAATAAAATAAGTAAAGGAAAAAAGAAAGAAAATGAATCGAAGATGATGGAGCAGCAAAGAAACTGGCGAGGAAAGAAATGCAGCAAAATGGGCAAAAACAAAAAGTTTAAATAAACAGTAAATTAAAATAAATAAATAAAAAATAAATTAAAATAAAAAAATTAAATTAAAGTAAATTAAAATGATTAATAGGGTAATGGGAACTGGAATTAGAAAGACAAACAACAGAGCCCAGGGCCAAGAGCAGCAAGAGCAGCAGCAAACAGACTGCAGCAGGGAAACAGCAAAACGGGCCAGAAAAGACGTGAAAATGAAGAAAATAAGGAAAGTTAAAAACATAAATTGAAATAAAATGTTAAAAAAGGAAAAAATAAACAAAATAGTCGAAAACAGCAGACAAACAAGACACCCACGGGAAGAAACGGGCAGCGGGGCAGAAGAAAGAAAAGAGCCAAGGCCTCGCCGATGAGCCGAAAAAGAAGAACTTTGGGAGTGAAAATGAAATAAAATAAAATAAATTAATTAATTTAATCTTAACAATTTAATTTACTTCCTTTTCTTTAAGAATGAGAGGCACTTTCCCTCTTGGGCGCTGCAAGCTGCAGACTGCACGGGGAAGTCGCGGCAAGGCCCGCTGCAGCGGGCAACTCGGTAACTCCTGCACTAAGGCGGAGAGATTGAATAAATTGAAGCAAAAATAAATAAATAAAAAATAAAAGGCGAAAAAGAAGAAGTTCGTGCACATGCGAGCTGTAGATACACCCGAAGACGTGCACAGCTCCGCGCCCGAGTGTCCACTGGGCCGGTCCGAGCGAAGGCGCGCCTGCGTTTCTCCCGTGAAAACTGGGCAAATTGAGTTTAATATTCTTCAAAATGTTATTTAAATACTCCGAAATGTTGGATTATCTCAAAAAACGAAAAGTTTAGCGGCCCGAAGCGAGACACTCGGCGTGCCGGCCCGTCGCTCAGCGGCCCGACCGGCCGCCGCCCAAGACCGTCCGACGTTTTGCTGCTGCTGCTGCTGCTGCTGCTGCTGCTGCTGCACTTTCTTCCTTTGTTCATTTTTGTTTTTGGAATTTGCTGCTTTGCATATTTTTGTTTATTTCATTCAAGTATTTCAGCTACTGCGGACGCCGA